TGCATAAGTGATCTACATGCTGCAGATGCACTATATCATCAAACCTGCAGTGTTAACTTCAGAACAAGTAAGAAAGTACCAAAAGCATTTTCACCAGACACTAAAGCAAAGGAAAACAACTACCAGGGAAGACCAGCAGCTTATGGTGAACAATTTTTAAAAATTGTAGATTATCTCAAAGAGCACGAGGATGAACAGATAACTATTGCAGAGCTGGTAAATAAAATGAATGAGTTGTGCGGAGAACAAGCATACAGTTCAGTTTATATGAAGAAAAAATTGAGAAACCATTTTGGAGAAAATATTATTATAACAGATATTTGTGGGAAAATTAGCGTTTGTTACATTGAGAGATACAGCATCCTGTGTTTTGCAAGAGTTTTACCAAAGACCAACATATCAAAATCCAGACGATGAAAAAAAAGCCATAATAGAAGCTGCTGCAAAATTAATCAAAAGTGACATCCGATCTTTAAAAGGGGACAAGGAAAATTATCCATTGGCATCAGATGTATCATCACTAAAATCAAATTTGGAATATGTACCTGAGAGCTTAAGCTATCTACTAGAAACAATGTTTGCTGAAAAGGACTCTAAAATGAAAATAGCTTCTATTGGACAGGCAATAATTCAGGCATCAAGACCCTGTGTGCTTATTGCTCCTTTGCAAATTGGTCTTGGCATTCAACTTCACCACAACCTTGCTTCCCGTTTTCTGGTTTCTACTTTAAATAGCATAGGATATTGCTCATCTTATCAAGAAATTCAAAAATTTGAATCCAGTGCCGCTTTAACACAAGGAGTTGACATCCCTGGCGAAATATGTAATAGTTTTATTCAATTTGTAGCTGACAACGTAGACCATAATGTGAGAACACTCGATGGCAATAACACATTTCATGGTATGGGAATCATTGCCGGCATTACACCAGGCACTAAGCGAACAGCACCTATTCCTAGAATGTCTGTTTCATCTGATAATATCAATTCAATAGCAAAGGTCAATATTCAATATTACAAACCTCAAAATGACTTTATGACAAAGCTTACTTTTTCAGAGCTTAGGGAATTAAAGGCAATGGACAGGACTGCGTTTCGGATTTACTGTCACTGGTGGTGTGGCCCTTAAAGAATCCAACGCCAGGTTGGTCAGGTATTATGCAGATGATACATAAGGCAGAATACCCAGGCAAGTCAACAGTTATATTTCTACCTATGATAGATATGAATGCTAGCGATATGTCATGCATATACTCGACTCTACTGTTTGTTTCAAATCAAGCACATCGTTACAACAGAACACCGGTATTGACATTTGATCAGCCATTGTATTGGAAAGCCTTGACAATAATTCAAAATGAACATCCAAATAGTCAGTTGAAGTCTGTAGTATTGCGTTTAGGAGCGTTTCACACAGAAATGAGTTTCTTAGGTTGCATTGGTCACATTATGAGGAGTTCGGGGCTGCAGGAAATTCTGGAACTAATTTATGGGCAAAATGCAGTTACTCACATGCTTAGTGGTAAAGCTGTAGCTCGTGCGATTAGAGGACACATGCTTGTTGTCACTGCCATCCACAGCCTACTTGTATCTAAAATTTTCAACTTTGATTTCCCAGAATCAGAAGAAAATGAAGAAGGAAATATAAATGATAATTTTGACGACAACATCTTGTCTGAGGCAGCCGATGTATATACAGAATTGTTGGAAGGAACACTACCCATACCTTCTGCATGTGATAGTGCTGTACTTAAGAGCATTGACGAAACAATGCACAGACCACTTGAAGAAATGAAGAAAAATCGAACCTCTAAATTGTGGCTTCAGTATACAGAAATGATTCAGATCCTTAGACAGTTTATCAAAGCAGAACGGACTGGCAATTGGGAATTGCATTTAAAAAGTGTTAAAGATATGCTGCCATACTTGGCTGCCTCTGGTCACAACTTATATACTAAATCTGCGTATGTGTATCCAATGATGATGCAACAACTTGAAACAGAGCATCCGGAAGTTTTTGCTGCTTTCAAAGATGGCCATCATGTAATGAGACGTAGTGACAGATATTGGGCAGGATTGTCGTCAGATCTTATGATTGAACAAGTGCTCATGAGGAGTGTAAAAACAGCAGGAGGACTAACAAGAGGCCGTGGAATGGGTGAAAGTCAAAGATCACAGTGGCTTTTGTCAATGCCCGCTTGTGCAGACATGAATCAAGCTATACAAGAGCTCACAGGAGTAGGCTACTATACAAGTGATCAGCACAAAGAAGAATCAACTGCACGTCAAAAACAAGACAGAGAAGACATTATGTCCATTCTTACATTTATGAAAGAACGCAGTCCATTCACTGGAGACAGTTCACTGCGAAATATTGAAACTGGAGTAACGGCTGATAGCTCTGTTAATGTAGACAATTCAAAAGATGTGGGGACAGCGATAATAGAATCTCTTTTTGGACAAAACGTCAGTGACTACACTTTCAAGAAAAAAAATCAAGTAATAACTTTAAATAGCAAAACTAGTATCAAAGTAGATGGTGAATTATTACAAGTCGACCCACAGCTTCTCTTTCAAAGATGCACCACCGTAGCTAATGGACTCTTTGAAGACATATCAGAAATATTCAAATATGAACTCTGTAGTGTTCCATCTTCGTTATTTGACAATAATGGTTTACCAAGACAGGCAAATAAATCAATTCTAGCAGACGCAATTTGGGACTTTGATGGATGCGGATGTTTGGAAACAGGCACCAATGTTCACCATGTATTAGATGGTGGGTCTCTCATACATCGCATACTTTGGACAAAGGGAAACTCATTTAATAGTATTTGTCAAGCGTATGTTGATTACGTTAAAAGCCACTACACTGACGCAACTATTGTATTTGATGGATATCCAGATGTACCTACTGTGAAAGATATTACTCACATACGACGATCAAAAGGATGTATTTCTCCGAAAATTAATTTTTCTGCTGAAATGCCCTGTAAAACTAAAAAGGATGCATTCTTGTCAAATCAAGACAACAAACAACGATTTATCAACCTGCTAAGTGGAAAATTTAAGGCAAGTAATTATACAGTTGTAGTTATAGGTGAAGACACAGGTTTGCTTGTTTTACTTTGCTATCATGCCCTGCTGCATAACAAAAACGTTTATTTCAAGTCAGAACCGAAGCAAAGTGTTCAAAAGATCCAAATATGGGATATCAAAAAGACAAAGAAACATTTGGGTGAAGCTATCTGTCGGTTGTTGCCTTTTATACATGCATTTAGTGGGTCCGACACAACATCACGAGTGTTTGGGTTAGAAAAAGGAGCAATACTGAAAAAAGTTACATCATCTGCTTACTTACAAGATCAAGTATGGCTTTTCCTAAAGAAATCAAGCAAAGCTCAGGTTGTCAAAGCTGGAGAAGAAGTTTTAGTCGATTAGTACGGCGGTGTTCACTCAGAAGAAGGCTTAGATTTACTTCGATACAGGAAATTTGCAACAAAGGTTGTTGTAGGGAACATTTTTGTTCAAGTACACTCTCTGCCGCCAACATGTGATGCAGCTAAACTACATAGCATGAGAACATTCTATCAAACACAAATTTGGATTGGAGAGGGACACAATTTAGATCCTAACCAATGGGGTTGGTATACATCAGAGAATAAATTAATGCCTGTTAGATGTATATTACCACCGGCACCCGAAAAACTGCTTAAAGTAATACGATGTAACTGCAAACAGAACTGTGATTCAAGAAGAAATACATGGAATTGACTGTTCTGCTAGTTGTGGCGAGTGTCATGGCATTAACTGTTCAAATTCAAGCATAGTAACACAAAGTGATTTGGACGAAATTTAGAATTTATGTTGATGTGTATAGTGAAAAATGGCAACAACACTATGATTTTAAACAACAAAAAGTGTTATATAAACAGGTTGAAGGACTATTCATGTCACTTTTTGTATGAACTATAGTATGGACATTGTCTCATGAATGTGTAGCTGATATTGTTTTTCCTCTACAACTTCTGTTCAATATATCTATATAATTAGAAAAACTGACTGTTAAAAAAATGTATAATTGCATGAGGTTGTTTTTGCAAATTGAAGTATAAGTACTCAATTCACATTTTTCAAATCTTATTTTTGACACGTATTATAACTTTTGGTCATGGATTTACTCTTTAAAAACATTTTAGAGGAAGGCAATTCAATTTACAGTACACATCAAAGTAATAATTTTATTGACTAATACATAATTAAAGCATTCCAGTTATTTGTAAGTTTTCAATGAAAATTTGCATTTCGACCCCAAATTATGGACCAAAAATTTAGTTTGTCATATAATGCCATTTATGTATATAACACAATTAAAAAGGAACAATACAAAGCCAAAAAGCAAACATTTTTATTGATGTACTGCCAAATTAATTATTTAAAGCTTATTTCCAGTTTTGCTGGATTTTTCCATAAAAACTCCCATTTTTACCCCAAAATTACGCTTTTGACATACAAATGCACTTTCTTGCATATACTATTTCTTTTTAGATCAATGTCTATTGAATCACACACTGTTTTAATGATTTTACTACAAAATAAACTTGTTCTGGCTTATTTCCAGTTTTCATCGATTTTTCTATAAAAACCTGTATTTTTCCCCAAAAATATAGTATTTCCGAACATCAGATTTTACAAGACTTTTGATATGTGATAGAGGCCATATTAACCTTTAAAATGAGACCAAATTTCTTTCTGTTGCAATTTGTTTAAGGTTGGGCCATTTTTATGGCAGATTGACTGGACTAAATGATACAGATTCTTGTTCCATCTCCCATGACAAACATAATATGTTTAAAATTTTGTTTAAATGTTGTATTTTTTTATAATGTCTATCTTAATGCCTACCAATAAAGATTAAGCTTGAAGGTTATACTGTTCTGTGATTGTCTTCATCTAATCTGTAATTTAGTTTCTTGTAAAAGGAAAACTTGGTGACCTACCTGCATTTATAGCACTGTCCATTGGATAGATGCCTGATTTTGTTGGTAAGTATCTGTCTGCTCCTTTAATACAAATAAAAACAAAATCAGTGTTTTAGTTTTATGATATATTGTCTAGATAGGAAAAGGGGGATGTTGGTACACATGTAAAACTGGCAAAACCTGTAGTTCGCTGTTGTTGCATGTCTGTTTACTGTGAAAGTACTTTTATTTGTGGGTATCAATTTTCGTGGTTTGAGCAAAAGTTATATGTTCGTGGATTTTAGTTTTTGAAAGAAAAAAAATCGGGTGAAGAATTTGAAGTCATCTGAAACGAATACTTGTGAAAATAATCATATGTTGTTTTATAATAAATTGTGGGACTTTTCAAAAATAAGGTGTTCATTTTCACTTACTTGTTCGTCTTTCATTACCGACAAAATTCATCAAATTTTTAATAAAATAGTTGAAATTTGTTTTTTTTTTTGTATGAGAATTATGAGGAGATAAAATGAACACTTCATCATCGCATACCATCACCGGAAGTCTAACTTTTATCGATCTGACAAAACTAATTTTTCGCAAGAATTAAAAGATTAAAAGTCGTACAGTTTAGGTTTTTTATAGATTAAATGTGTAAAATCCTGTCTGAAGTTAGTGCAATTGCTGATATTCGATGTATTCTCTAGATCATATGCCCATATTCATGTAGTCAAACCTACAGTAATGGAGATCTTTCCATGCCTTGTTTTGGACAACAGTTCTCTTATTTCATTTCGTTGGACACTTAAATTTGTGGATAAAGCCATCCATCAAAACAACGAAAATTGGTACCCTACGAATAAAAGTACTTTCACAGTATAAGGAGAGGGGTGTTGGTGGTTGATATGGTCTGTTGTGGTGCAAGATATTTTTGTTGATTCCTGTTTATATCCCCTTTTATGTATTATTCAGTGATATCTATTTCACAAACATTATAAAATGTCTTCCATTGTAACCAATGTAAAAAATAGGCACACATCCATCATAAACATGACTTGAGATTTTAATTCCTATTAAAGTGAGCCTATATAATGCAGTACTTTAGGCAAAGATGTCTGATTTTTTAAACACATAGTCACCATTTTAAATTATACCTAATAGTTATTTAAAGTGTTGATGGTGGTCTGTATTCATTGGGTAAGATAGTTAGACTATGTTTAAAAACAGTATTAATGTTTAAAACTATCAAGTATTTAATAGTAAACTGCAATGTTTTAAATATCATTTTGTTTTTTTCATACAATGTTATAGATCCCTATTCCTTTCGTTTTCAGGTAAAAGAAACCCTGTCCATACACAAATCATTCTTTTTGGGACAAAATCATTTAATAGCCTGGGTGTCTTATGGATGTTTTGAATGCCTTACAGTAAACAAAAATACTTTAAAATTTTAAATATTTGGCTACTCTGTATGACTTCATCTCTTTGATCTTTTGCATTATAATTGTATGTGGTCTACAGAGTTTGATCCATGTGTCACATAAGTTTCATTATTAAATATCATAACAAGAGTTCTTGAAATCTTTTTTTGCCTGGTGGTCCTTTAAGAAAATCTGTTGGTCCTCTCTGTTTTTTTCTATTGCAAAATACCAAATTGTGTAGGTCCTTACAAAATTTTGGTGGTCAGGACCTTCGGACCACCACTTTTTGAGAACTCTGTCATAAAATAACCTTAACTTTTTACACATTACAATTTAGGAATATTTTCTCATGTACATTTATCAAGATCTTTCTTATTATTCAAATATTCCTTACATAAACTATTCTATCATACCTAGCTTCAGTAAGTATCTAATGACATCTGTGTTGCCTTTTGCTGCAGCCCTATGAAGTGGAGTATAACCCTTTATGTTCTGAGTATTAACACAACATCCTGAAAAGAGAAATTAATAAACTATAGTTAACTCTAATCACAAAGGGTAATCAACTTTTATTCTTAAAAGTGATCATACATTGTATATGTGTCAAAATTTGGTAGCAATCAGCTCTTTAAAAGAATTTTAAGGTTTCTACCCTATTAAAAAGTGCCAGCAATGTTGATGTTGGTTATGATTATAAGTGGCAGAGCACATTGCAATCAACTAAAAATATCCATTACTAAAACTTAAGATTTCTATCCTGTCCAACAGTTTTTGACAAATATGTTTAAGGATGTCTTTTTCACAGCTACCATATTTGACTTTAGCTTTAGGTGCATTGAACTATATTTGGTAATATCTTTTTTATATTCTCTAATGTTGCATGACCTTAACAAAGTCTTGAAAGTTCAAATTAACGTGAATCAATATCGAAGTTTAATGTGTAAATTTTCATATGGGCTTACAAAATTCTCAAGTATGAGGATTTCTTCTTGTATTTCAGTCTGTTTAATGTCAGAATTATTTCAATAACTTGTACCCCCATGGTTAATTAACTTGAACAGCAATCAATCCTATATAAAATGCTTTCAAAAAATCCAAAGGTAAAAACTAGGTCACGAAAAAAGTAAATTTACAGTACATTCTTTCAAAAACAACAAAAATATATCTGAGTTATCTCCCTTATTGTGCAAAGATCCTACTTTCTTTTCAATTAAAAAAATTCTGTATTTGTTAAAAAAAAAATGCTACCGTATGACAACATCATAGGAATGTCTTTTTTACATCTTAGACTGATCTTCCACAGTTTATTCCTATTAGATTTAGAACATATTTTGTTAAGTAATTTTCAAAAAAGTTAATATGTAAAATAAGAAAATATACATTGCTGCAAAGACATTGGTACAATTTTTTGATTATATTCACCTGCTTGACTTAAATCTGTGAGAACATCAGGATCAACATATGTGGAATTTAAAATTCCAAATGTAGATAAATATATTGGAGAGTCTCCATCCCTAGTATGTATGTGCATCTCTGCACCTGCAAGACAAATATAATAAACATTTTGCAAAATGCTTCAACTTCTTTTCTCCTATTTGATTTAGAATCAACATTCTATAATTTAGCTTAAGGAAACAAAACAAAACATTATTTTTTTCATATAAACACTAGTTTGCAATTGGTTGTCATCTCTACTATTCTTTCAAAAGCAACAATTTCATAATCCTCTACTGAATATATTGCTGAACTGAAATGAAATGCAATAGATTTTGGTTTGTGTGATGAATTAATGATAAAATAAGGTATTGTCTGATATAGAGTTTTCGCTGCCTCTCTTGTGTATTTGAATTGATCACCATGTTTGCAAGATCGATAGTACAAATATACAAGGATATCTGTCATATAATTGATATAATTTTTTAACAAAAAATGTTACACTGCTTTGAAATGGATAGCATTTCACAGAGGTACCTTCTACTACCGGTAGTTCAGCTGTTATCAGTTTCTCTTTAGCTTAATACTATAATTTTAGCCCAAAGCGTGAAAATGTGTAAAAATTTGTTATTAAAAGGCAATAACTCCTATCAAGAGTGGACTGACCATTTAGGCCATGTTTGACTTATTTGTAGATATTGTTTATAGTTGCTAACTTCTATGTCATTTGGTCTCTGCTGAAGAGTTGTCTAATTTGGCAATCCTACCACATCTTCTTGTTTCTATGTGCTAGCTGATTGCATTTGCTTTTTAAGTTTCTCTTCACTCTTGATAATAGTTTTTAAGATTATAACTAAACAAATACATGCAACATTGGTAAAAATCATCTTTAAAGGGCAATGACCCATTTAAGAAGTTGTCTGATGTTTAAAACATGTTGACTTCTTTGTAAATCTTGTCTTTATTTTCACAATTTAAAGTTTCTCTCTATAAATTATAGATTTCAAGATACATGTAATAGCAAAACAAGAATATGCATCCATTGGACACCATGCCAATCTTGCACTATCACATTCCCATGTTCAGAGAATCATGAAATAGGAATCAATACTGTAATTTGGCATATAATCTTAAAAAGTTCACTTCAGAATGAACATGTGTATTTAGTTTCAAATTGATGTGACCACAACTTCATAGTAAACTACCTCAAACCCAAAACTTTAACCGGAATGTGTACTGATTTCACAATATCACAGTGAACCCTAAAATATGGATCAAAACCATAATTTGGCATATAATCTAGAATTTAACATCATAAGGAACAAGTGAATAAAGTTTCAAGTTGATGTGACCAAAACTTCAAGGTAAACTACCTTAACCAAAAACTTTACCTGATACAACAGGGACAAATGAATAGACCCCTACACCAGAAAACATGACTATCATGTCTCAAGTCTTGCAATTTTTCAAGTTAAAAAGGGGCATAACTCTAGAACAGTAAGTGACTCACTGACCAAATTCGAACTCTGTCTGTGTGTTATGGTTCTCAGCATTGTGTATGAGTTTCATAAAATTTGAAGACAAACTTAAGTTAGAGTGAGGAAACTTTTCTTTCCCAGTTATAAAGGGGCATAACTCTAGACATACTGCCAAAACTCTGTCTAGTGCTGTGGTTCTTAGCATTGTGTACTAGTTTTATATAATTTGAATGAGGCAAATTAAGTAAGAGTGCGGAAACGAAAATGGGACAGACAGAAGGGTATCACTTAATGTCCCCATTGCCTAAGGCAGGGGCATAAAAAGTTTACCATAATGGAACTGATGAGGGCCAACAGATACCAAATGATGATACAGATCGGGTCAAGTGAGCTAAAAAGGGATAAGGAATATGTCTAACTGGTTTAAAGTCTGCTTTAGCAATGTTTAAAAATGCAGAATTAAAATCTTAACTGCTATTTTATTCTAAAATTTTATTTTTGCATCTAATAATTTGCTGCAAGAGGGTGTTAGCATTGGTGACAACTCCTTATCAATAGACCAAAAATTTAAATACTTTTGAAGACTGCAAAAGTAATTATTTCAGTGAAAAGGTTTATAGTTGTTCAGTTTGGCTATGGATGAATTTAAAATTAATTTTACCTTTTGAAATCATATACTTTATCAACTTTCTATCACCACTTAAACAAGAACACTGAAATAAAGTTTGACATTGATAAGACTATTGTGAGTAAACAAATTAAAGAAAAGAATGCATATAGCATTCTCTGAACTGTGTAGACTCTCAAAACCATAATATACAACCATATATAATAATATATTTTTTTAAAGTTCACATCATAATGTTCAATAAACTTACCAAGTTTCAAGTTCATGGTAGTGCATAGTTATTTCAATTTATAAAAATTTTAAAACATTATACAACATGAACACATTTGGTTGCAGTTGAAAAATATAATTTCATAACTTATAACTCAAAAATCTATCAAACTCTGAGCATACCAAAAATAATGAAAGTCCACTTGATGGCATCACATAGTTAACATCATATCCATATTTTTCTACCAATGCAATTACTGCTTCTGTATGGCCTGGCTCATAGGCAGACTAAAATATATAACAAAATTATTATGATAATCTATATCTTACTGCATAGTATAACCCTCTCTAGGAACATTTTATATTATTGAAACTACAATCAGTTTCCCCTAGGCAATGATCCTAAGGTAACCTTAGTCTGTTTTTGTGCTTCTATGTTTTGGTCCTATATTGTATCAGCATGAGTTTATCTGATGACAGTTAATTTAGAAAATAGCATCCACATACAGGGATGATTTTGTCTTTAATAAAATTATCTGAAAATCATTATATGAAATGCCTCCAACCCATTTCAAAAGAGTAATTTTCTACTATAGCTCTTAACAATTCCAGCAACATCAAGACATTTTTTCTAGAAGCTACTAGCTCTTAACAATTCCAGCAACATCAAGACATTTTTTCTAGAAGCAAATTCATTATAACTGAAATAAATTAAAAAAATATCTAATAAATATCTCCTCTGCACATAATAATGGTGTTTGGTGTACTTCAAAATAAGATTTAAATTTATGCTCTCTGGTTAGGACAGACAGACATTGAACGATTGATTAGAGTTTGCTTAATGTCCAATGGCACATATTCCAAGTATATTCAGGTTGACAGACTAAGGATGATTCTGTAAAAGTATTGCTTTAAATAGGTTATGTTATTAAGCATAATCTTCCAAATTTTGTATGCTAGTTGAAAACACCAGTACTAGTAGATTACACTGTGGTGTGTTTTTGCACATGTTTTCATCAGAAATAGCCAAAATGGTTTAAAAGACTTTTAGAAACATATTTTGAAATGTTGAGATATCAAATAAATAATGCCTTACCTTTGCCAGATCAAATACATTCCAATTCAGCTTTATGGGATTCAGCTCAACTCCATTCTTCTTATTTTTCTTTGCTACTTTTTAAGTACATTGAACATGAATGTAAAATTAATTAATTGCTCTTACATTCTTAATCTTGTATTTCTTGTTTATGTATTGAGATATCTTAGTTCTCTTGTGACCTTCTCATCAGTGTTTCCTATTTGTTACAGTTATTTTACTTTTTTTCAGCAAGAGTTTAGACATACACTTTGGAACAAATGAAATGTACCACACTCAAATATTCAGTATTATAATACTATTATCTAAGAATAATAACATCTGTAGATTGTATAGTGACCTTTAGATGTCTCTTTTTGGTTTCTTCATATCAAAATTGAGTGGTTGCTCTGTTGTTAACATCTACCCAACATCTCCATTTATTCATATCAATCCTGCATTTGTACAAGGCAATGTATTCCAAATATCATGAAATTGACAGACAAGTCAAGTAAAATCACTGCTAGTCTGGTAAATTTGTTGTAATCTCTGAACCAAACTGCCCTTGGAACAATATGCTTAACTGCCTGGTGTTTCACATAAGTTTAGGGAATGGGATGGAAAACTATAATCAATGAAGCAAAATAATTGGACAGCATGTTCCAATTGATTTTTGTTTATAATCTGTTTTTTATATCAATATGCAAATAATGTAGAAATTTAGTAACACACTTCTCGAAATCAATGAAATACTAATGCATGTTGTATATAGTACTATTGAAGCAGGATTATTGCAGACATGCAGAATACTATTTACCAAAAGAGTCTATAGATGTAAAAAATTACAATTTCAGGCTTTTAAGACACATTTCTTACATTAAGTTCAAAAGCTTTTTTTTTACAAATTTACATTTTGATAGACTTAAAGTCTGGCATTTTTTTTTTGCTAAACAAAATTGCCTGTTAATGTAATCTTGCAACACATTGGCTATCTTAATGATTTATGGTGAAAATTTATTCAAGTGGCATGCTATTTTTTAAATACTTTTATAGCAAAATTACCTGACTTATTTCTTTTGTAGAAGACAACCAGACACACTGTTAGCAAGAACACAGTCAAAAGTATATACCCTTGATATTCTTTGATTAAATAAGCATAATTCAACTGTTGATACCATACATATGCTAAATTCACCAAAACTTTTAACTCTGAAAAATACAATATCATATATGGTAATACAAAGTTTTTCTGTATATATAGTATAACATTATAATAGATATAATTTAGCATAAAACACTTTTATTATGAATTTGTTTTTATATATAGAGATATTATTTTAACAAACTAGTGGCTTGGAGCCTTTATTGTTCACCTGGCATTTATGCCTAAAATTAGAGTATGATGAGTTGAATGGAAACAGTGTTAACCAAAACCTTGTCTTAGATATAGGAAGATGTGGTATGAGTGCCAATGAGACAACTCTCCATCCAAGTTACAATTTATAAAAGTAAACCATTATAGGTCAAGGTACGGCCTTCAACACGGAGCATTGGCTCACACCAACAGCAAGCTATAAAGGGCCCCAAAAAATTACTAGTGTAAAACCATTCAAACGGAAAAACCAACGGTCTAATCTATATAAAAACGAGAAACAAGAAACACGTATGAACTACATAAACAGACGACAACTACTTTAATCAGATTCCTGACTTAGGACAGGTGCAAACATTTGCAGCGGGATTAAACGTTTTAATGGTACCAAACCTTCTCCCTTTTCTGAAACAATAGTATAACATCACAACATAGAAAAACACACTATAAAATATCAATTGGAAGGCTTAACTCAATCAAAAAACGTAAATTAACACACAATGAACGAATAAATTTGACCTGTGACACCTGAATGCAAATACACAGTTAATAAAAAATTACAAGGGATAAATGATTAAAGTCAAAAGTAAATAAACAGGTTTAAACAAAGTTAAAGTATGATATCACTGTGAAATTTCAAACAATTTTTAGAAAATCATCACTTTTGAAGAAACCTGCATTATATTATACACAGGTAAATGAAAATAATTTTGTTGTTAAGTATACTTCTTCTTCTGTGTGTATAAAATCTTCCGATTAGGAATACCAAGAAATTTCTTTAATATCAATAAAACTAATCTAACACTTGGTACATATGGGGTGAATATCAACAATAAAAATATACAATTAGTGCTAGATAAAACTTCCTGTACAGGTCCAAGAACAGCATCTAAGGAAAAATGAAATAATTTTGATGTTCATAGTACGAAGAAGTGAAAATTTGTAGTAAATTAAATACCAAATAATCAAAGCTTGCTCATTTGCTGATTATTTTTTCTGGCCCTCAATTCTGTCTATCTGGCAACTCCTGTCAGAAGATGAATGACGATTTAAAAAATAACTTCATTTTAGAGCAACAACTCAGTTATGAGTCAACTGACAATTTTGGCATGTTGACTTATTTGTGGATCCTTATTTTGTTGATCATTTGATCATTTTAGTTATCTACAGTTTCTTTCTATCTACTCCAATAAGGAATCTATTGAGGTTTTTAACCATGTTGACTTATTTGTAAATCTTATTTTGCTGATCATATTGCTTTTTATAGTTTCTTTCTTTCTTCTACAGTTTGCACAAAAAAAACACAAAAAAGTTTAAAAGTTTTCATTTAAGACAATTACTCCTATCAGGATTCAACTGATGATTAATACAGCCAAGTAAGTGACTTAAATTTGTATATTTTATTTTACTGATTGTTTTTGTTTTTACAGTTTCTCTCTTTCTATTATAGTTTCAGCAAAAACAAGAAAAAAAGGTAAAAATCATCATTCAAGGGTAATAACTCCTATAAGATAGAGTTTTTATCAGTGAATTTTGGAAAATGCCTTTCAAAGTTAATTGGGAAAGAAAATGGATGTTCAGTTGCAGTTAAGTCCCATTACTACAAAAGCAAAATGTTTCATACTCTATATTCCACAAATTCATAATTTAGCTAATATGTATGGTATCAACAGTTGAATTATTTTTTTTAGGATTAGACAGTCAATATTTCTTCCACTCCTTTAAATCATTATAAAGGCATTCTGTCCCATCCAACTGCAATAAACTCTGAACAATACTTTATATGTATAATTTGTATAATCAAGGTACAAACCAAGATTAATATGATGCAGTAAATAGTGACTGATGTTGAAGTACAACTGTTTCATATGTGGGAAGAACAGATGTTGGTTAAACAAAATCCCCTCCCCCCCCCCTTTCCATTTTTTCATGTGTCTTGAAAACAAATCATTATTAAAATGTATAGGCTTCATGATTTCAGAAAACAGCAAAGTTAGTTTGTTACGATGTGTTACATACACAAATACTGGTAGATTTAATGTATAATCAAAGCGAGGGAGTGCTGAAAAGGCAGTTTCAGTCTACTCAATGTTTTATGATTATTTATGTAATGGAATTAATCTGACAGGAGACCATATTGATTAAATTCAGAAAATTTACTCAATTAATTAGTTAAAACCTTAAAAAAAAATAAGCTAACAACCATGGCCCTTTTTCACCACAGGAATTCAGTTATAAAGTTGTTTAATCATTCAATGCAACTCCTGTAAGTTTCAAGTTGTATGTGGTTATTTGCTATGATTCAATGGGAAAATCAGCTTTTCTTCAACAAAAGAAGTAAAAATAAATGTCAATAAAGGATTCTAGAACACATCACAAGTGTTACAATAAGCCAAGAATACCAATCAAAGTACTTGTGAGCACTGAAGGGTAAAGATTGCTTTCATATTGCAATTTTGTGAATCTAAAATAAAACACTGGATTGTAATTAGATAGGTAAATTTGAGTTGGGGTTATCTTCCTTTGTTCATGATTGTACATTTGTAGTTGAGTCTATTTTTATAACAGATTCATACACCATGAATTACTTATGTAATTTTCAATAAAGAAAAGTTTTCTTGACAAGTATGGTAATTCAAATACACATTATATTGTAACTTGAATATCTAAGAATAACATATTATTAATAAATTGCATGACATTGACTGGATAGTATCTTAAAAATTATCACAGCACTGCACTATTTTGTTTGAACTATCAATGAAAGATAGTGATAAACCTTGGAAGATTTAGATACAAGTCAGTACCATAGGGTTTTCATTGCATTTTATGCAATTTTTACCCCAAAAACAAATGAAAAGTTGCACTTTTTTATCATAGGAAACAGGAAATTGAAAAACTACATGTAAATTGCGAAAGCAAATTTGGTGTAATGAAAATTACTGAATTAAACATACTTATTCTAGTGAAAGACCCATTGATATCAATCAAACTGAATCAAACATACTTTTAAAAAAATCATAGTTCATCATGTTTTTTTTCAAATTTCATAAATTTTTAGTTAACAATTTTTACAAGATATTATTAATACTTAAAATAGCTGTTTATCAATAATAATGGTCCACTCACCTTGAAAATAGGTGTTGATACATGATAAACAAGATCTCAAGGCGTCTTCACCAAGATTTTCCATATTTGTAATCTCTGACACAATATATCTCACCTAAAATAAAATTCAGTAAATATTCTGAAGTCTTCGTAAAAACAGCATGTACTTTATTTGGTAAAAAAAAATTGGGTCAAAGTCTAAAATGGCCTGGTTGCAATATTTGTGACTTACATGTATCAATGCAGAAGGTTTAAAAGTCTGGAAAAATAAGAAAAAAATTCCTCAAACAATTCCATAATAGAAGTTGCACAACTTCAAAATATGTGCAATCTTCCTGTGAAGTTTCAGGGATCTGGTTTGAAAACTGTAGGAGGAGTTGATTACACTAAGTTGGATATATTCTTTTCCCTGCCCTCCCATCAGCCCAACATCAGCATACTATAAGCTGGTTTTGGACTTCATACAACCTAGCCAATGTGGCAATAACAAAAAAAAACTAGAGGCTCTTAAGAGACTGTGTCACTCACCTAAGTCTATGTGCATCTTCAACATTGTAGACTACTGTTCACAGTTTCTATCTTAAGGATGTACAACTCTGAGGATCCATAAATTTCTAGAATTAAAGTTTTTTTCTTAACCTAATTTTTGGGTTTATATGACTGTAAAAAAATAATTGGTGACGAAAAAATCATATGGTGGTGCACTTCTTTTTTTGCTACGGCCATTTGAAAGCGCCCGATTTTGATGATTTTCCCATTTTTCATCAATTTTTACCCATTTTGGGGCTATTATCATGAAAAAAATCACTGTTTCACAATTAAACTTCTTTTCATACTTTCACTAAAGATGAAGGGGACCAATCTGAATAAATTTAACTAAAAAAAACTATAGGTAGGTGTTAATATAAGAAAGTTTTATAAAATTTTGTTGCTTTTTCGTGTCAAATTTCCTATGCTGTCAATTTTGTAAATATGGGATTTTTCTCTTCTTTTTAGAACAAAAAGCATATTATTTCAACTTCTTTGTTATAAATGATTGAAAAAATACATATCTCTAAGAAATTTGAAAAGAAAAATTTGATATGGGATGTACAAGTTCCTGGTAAAATCATTTCTTATACCCCTCATCCATTTTCTCCACATTTTGGCTAAAGAGACTAACTTGAATGGTTATAAAATTTGCAAATTTTATTACTCAAAAACTACTTATTGTAAATACACAATTTTTTTCAGAGTCAAGTTTGATTATAATGTTTTTTAAATTCATTGATATTTTCCACCTGTATCACATGTTTTGGAAATAATTCCAGAACAAGATTTCAACGAGACTGAAACTTCAGAAGAATACATCCTTAAGTAGCTTTTGCCCAAAACACAAAAGAGGGTGAACAATTTTACCATTTAAGGGCAATCACTCCCATCTACTAACTTTTTTGGCTGAATTTGACCTAATTGTAGATCATGTCTTGCTAATCATTTTTGTTATCTAAAGTTTCTATCTATCATATCTTGTCTTGCTGATCACTTTTGCTCTTTAAAGTTTCTATCCATCTATTGTAGTTTTTAAGATTTTAGGTAAAAAAAAACATTGGTAAAAATCGCTGTTAAAAGGCAATAACTCTAATAAGAAGTCGACTGACAATTTCCGCTATACTGACTTAAGACGTTAAGTTATTTGTAGATCTTGTATTGCTGTTTAAAGTTTCTCTCTATCGATTCAAGTTTTCAAGATAATAGGTAATTTGATTGGTTGTTCCCAACTTGATAAAAGTGCCTGTGTATAAAATGTCTTAGTATTTTAAGTTAATTATTTATACGTTTGGACTGTTTTATCTGTCCTCAGGCTCAGAGCATTCGAAATTCGAGGTGTAAACACCCATTTATCTAATGAAATATACTCAACTCCCAAATGGTCAAATTTTAAACAGAATGGAGCGACAGTGAACATAAAAAGGGTATATTCACCTCATAATTATCAATAGGTACTCTCTCAGTTTCCAGTTAATGCGTGTTAGCAGACGACGTACTGCACTGCCTTGTACGTGGGCATATAAAATGCGAATCGAAATACAAACAAAACGAAAAATAAAAAGGAACGAAACGAAACGAAACGAAACGAAACAAAACAAAACGAAGCAAAATGACAAGACAAGACACAAACCAAAAACAAACCAAAACAAATGGAACGAATCAAAATTGAAAAAATGAAAAAAAAAAAATGAATACAAGTCAATATTTTTTAAAAACTTTTTAATAATTGAAAAGTTTAAATTCTCAGTAAATTTCAGACTGTGTGTCCAGGCTGGTCTCGTTCTCAGAAAATTTCTCACACAAAATGTGGGTATATATTTGTACTGATACGGTCGTTAATAATTTAGCACAAATCTTCCTGCTGTCTTTTTCAAACACACTTTTTTCGTTCTGAAGAGGGGCCTCGGTGGCCGAGTGGTTTAAGTAGTTACTACTGTTATTACTAGCCAGTCAACACTGAGGTTGTGAGTTCGAACCCCGCTCGTGCGGGTGCACTCGACTCCAATCTTAATCAGTGACGAGGATTATCAGTTTTCCTATCGAAGGTCGGTGATTTTCTCCGGGTACTCCGGCTTCCTCCACCAATAAAAACTGTCCGCCACGAAATAGCCCAAAAGCGGTGCTTAAAAGTGGCGTTAAAACACCAAAAATCAAATCAAATGAAATCGTTCTTAAGAACAAAATGTGTGTGTTTTCTGGGACTATTATACTAATTATTAGTACAATAGTCCCAGGTGTTTTGTCGAAAAAATGACATCATAGATATGATCAGATATTAAACGGAAATGACAAACGGTTTACTGTCAATAAATCGTATAGTCTGTTCACTATGGCATGGTATTGGTTGCAAAAATTTGATATTTTTCATTTAAATGCAATATTTTTATTTTAATTGGTATATTTCTTCATTTAAATGCAATATTTTTTTATTTGAATGGTATAATTTTTCATTTAAATGCAATATTTTTTTATTCAAATGGTATAATTTGTCATTCAAATGCATTTTTTTTTTTATTTGAATGGTATATTTTTTCATTTAAATGCAATATTTTTTCATTTAAATGCAATATTTTTTATTCAAATGGTATAATTTGTCATTCAAATGCAATATTTTTATTCAATTGGTAAAGTATTTATATGCAATAATTGCATTATGGGAAATTCTTTGACGTCATAAGGTCAAATTTACAACACCGTTTGTGATTGGTCTGTAATTGTTTGGATTTCTCCCCTTTCTTTCTAAACATGAGTGACCAAGAATTAAAAAACGCGTCAGAATATCGCCCCTCTAACTAAATCTGGCGTTCGTGCGAGTTCTACACTTGCTGTTAAAATATTCTGGTCCTAACTATTATTTCTATTTCAAAATTTCGATGGTCAAAACGTTCGGACCACCACTTTTCAAAAACTTTCATTATTTATGGATCTTGTGCATGTATAACGTTTTTTTAAATAGATTAGACACCGTTGGTTTTCCCGTTTGAATGGTTTTACACTAGTCATTTTTTGGGGGTCCTTTATGAGGGGGGGGGGGGGGTAGGAGGGGTCCTGATCCCGAAATTCGAAAAAAGAATTCCCGGATCCCGAAAGGATCAATCCCGAAATCCCGAGCTTAAAAACACCCGATCCCGGAGTCCCGATAAAGGTCCTACCCCCCCCCCCCCCCCTTTATATCTTGTTGTTCGGTGTGAGCATAGACTACGTGTGGAAGACCGTACTTTGACCTATAATGGTTTACATGTACAAATTATGACTTGGATGGAGAGTTGTCTCATTGGCACTCATACCACATCTTCTTATATCTATATACAACGTAAACCAGACGTTTCTCAGATTGTTTTTTTCTTTTTATAATAAATCCTTTGCCGCGCGTTGTGTACTGATTGATACTTCAGTCTGGGAGAACAAGATTTATTTCAGTACTAGTTGTAATTAGCTTTGAGCAAACTTCCAGTAATTGCAAATACTCTTATGTCGGTGCTATGTGTCTATTGTCTTAGTATTAGGGTTTTTTTTGTGTGTCTCCTACTGATCTTTTGAGTTAATCTAATTGCAACTGATTAGTGCAGGTTGTTCTTTTATTGGACTGTTACACTGACTGTCAGAGCTTCGGGATGGGTTGAGTGCTCACAAACATGTTGTTGTACTGTTACACTACTGTCCCAGGTTAGGGGGAGGATTGGGATCCCGCTAACATGTTTAACCCCGCCACATTCTGTATGTATGTGCTTGTCCCAAGTCAGGAGCATGTAATTCAGTGGTTGCCGTTTGTCGCTGTGTTATACATATTTGTGTTTCGTTCATTTTATTGTACATTAATTCGGCCGTTAGTTTTCTCGTTTGCATTGTTTTACATTTGTGATTTCGGGGCCTTTTATAGCTGACTATGCGGTGTAGGCTTTGCTTATTGTCGAAGGCCGTACGGTGACTTATAGCTGTTGATTTCTGTGTAATTTGGAGAGTTGTCTCATATGCAGTCATACCACATCTTCGTTTTTATATAAACCCTGCCATATTCTTTATTTGCCTGTCCCAGGTCAGGAGCCTGTAGTTTAGTGGTTGTCGTTGGTTCATGTCTCGACTCATATTTGATATTTTGTAAATTGTTTTGTTATGTATAATTAGGCTTTTAGTTTTTCGTTTAAATTGTTCACACTTTTCATGTCGGGCTTTTTAAAGACGACATTACAGTAATAGGTTTTTGTCATTGTTGAAGGCATTACGATTGTCTATAATTGCTTACATCCAATTCATATTTGAACTCCGGTGGATAGTTACCTTATTAGCAATCATATCCCATCTCTTCGTTTTTATATTATATACCTGACTTCTAAACTCGTGTTTTCCTGAACAAGCATGAAATATTTGTCACTGGGCGTTAAAAATTAGCAACAAACAATCAATCAATTTAAACTTGTGTTAAATAAGAGGAAAACCATTTGATATTTATTTATTTGTTGGGGTGGGGGACAGAAGGATTTCATATATGAATATGGTTGCCTGGTATAAGAGCTGAAAATAGGCATGATTAGCGACAGATTAAAATGAATAATAATGCCATCTCTTCCCTTCCCCATC